GACAGGAAAAATGCAACTGTTAAAATCAATAAAATAGAAGACCTTGGAGAAAACGTTTATATTTCTACAAAATATAACAACTTGGCATGGTATAGATTTATGAGGATGTTAAATCAGCCTGCAGCATATCCAGTACACCCAGACTTTTATGAAGTCGAAAACCCTAATGGAACATATGAAAATGTTTTCGACCCAGCTGCTATTATTGTTCATGCTTCATTTTCTGGCGCCCAAAACTCTTTCTTATGCTTGGCAAATGACTTTTACGAAAAACCTACAAAGTTATACGAACCACCAAGTGGAAGTATTTCAGACTTTCAAGTATGGTTTACTACAGATGGAAGAAAAAGAATAATTCTATATACCATGCGTTTTACTTAGAACTTAGTTTCATATACAACTACTATCGAACGGTAAAAATATAATTTTTTAATACGGTTGAGGTGTTGGATTTGGTTGCCAACTAGACTGTGGTGCAGGTTCAGGCTGTTGTATAACAGGAGCTTGTTCTTCTGGTTCAGGGTCTTTAGGTATAATACCAACAAACTGACCTACCCTTTTACCAATATTTTTGACACCGTTCCAAATTCCTCTTCCTACGGTTTTTATTCCATTCCATATACCTCTTCCAACTCTTCTGAAGAAGTTTCCAATACTACTGAAGAAACCCATTTTACTATATGTAAAAATCTAATGTCCGCCTAGTCTTTTGCGTTTCCTGTTGAGTTCCATAGCATTCTTTAACTGGAGCTCATACATTCTGTTTCTCCTCTGGTAGAAAACATATTCTGGGTCAACTCCTGTGTTCGCGTCATCTGCATAAAGTTGTTTATATCCCACTTCGGGGTTTGTATAAAACTCTTTCCATCTCATATTTGCATACCATGGTGGCAAACCTAACGCAGCGTCATTTGACATGGCAGTTTGCATTTGTACATCTGTTGGCACTTGACCATAGTTTGCCATTGCAGTTTGTATTCTAACTTCATTTGGAATATTCTCTGGGTTTGGTTGTCCAGGTTGCTGTGCATTCGCTAAGTTCTGTGCGTCCATTTAATATTAGATAAAAATATCTCTTACGAGTACATATGCTGAACATTTGCAGGCATTGGTTCATCTTCATATTCTCTGTACTTTTCTGCCACGTCAAAGAAATAAATGACACAATGGAAAAAACCTAAAACAAGTAGTCCTATTTCAAACCACATTTACTTACTAGTAAAATTTCTTTGTTATGACACTTTCTCCGGTTTATAGGACCTCTCTCATATTCTATCTTGTCATATCTAAACTCATAGTCATGTATGTCCTCTAACCATCTCATAACGGTTTCCAAACCACTTTTATCGGATGTAAAGTAAAAGCATGGATGGTTATGTAAAACGTCTAAAGTTTCTAAAGAGTCTCTCAAAGTCCAGTCTACTTGGTATTGAAAATCCCATGTGTTATAGAACGGCGGGTCCACTATAAAGAAAACATTTTCCTTGTCTTTATATTTTTCATACAACTCTGTCCAATGACATCTCACAAACTCTATACCCTCAATATATTTTTCTATGTCCTCTTTGAAAACATTTGTATAGTTAAGATATAAAACTTTTGACATAAGTGTTTCAATGTCATGAACTCTTATAGAACCACTATATAATAGTCTAGCAGATATACTATCCCAGTCTATATATTCTGCTTTTTTCAAAACCTCTCTCACAATATTTTTGTTATCTAATGGTATACGTTCCATCTTACCTATAGGTATCTTTTCTTTTAACTCTTTCAATATATTGTTTGTATCTGGTATATGTTTGAGACGGTCCATATAGTTGTCGAAGTCATTGCATATAATCTTTGAGTCTGGGAATATTGTATGACATAAATGGGATATATAGAAACTTCCACCGAACAAATCTACAAATGTTAGACCATTCGGTAGTTTCTTAAGTTCTCTCAATATAATATCTTTACATCTACTCTTATTTCCAAAGAACGGTAACGGTGGTTTTGTAAAATTCATTTATATATAATAATAAAAATGTTTTTACCTGAAAAGTGACAGAAAAGTGACAAAGCATGAAAACATATATAATTTGTGAAAAGTGAAACAAAAAGTGACATTTTTAAAAGTGACATCATTAATATGATGTAAATAACAACGGTTTTGGTTTTGTCACCGGCTGGTCGGCTGGGGTTCGGTCCTCCTCTTGGGTCTTGGGCAAAATTTCTTAGGGCTAGAAGGGGCGCAGCCCCTGGAAGCCCCTCAGACCTGACCTAAAGTATTTCAAAATTTCATCGTTTTATCAATTTGTTAAAATAATATATGTATGGTTACATATAAATATTTTTTTCTGATCGAAGCTGTTTGACTGATAATTGAATTTCAGAATAATATTCAATTATCTGAATTTCGAGGCAAGATTAAGTGGCTAATTGGAGAATTGATTGTATGTTCGAGGTTTTTTGATAGTTTGCTTTTGTGTTTCGATCCATTTTGACTTCATTCCAACATATCGGCCACGAACTATTCAAAAAAAATATTTTTATGATGTCATCAACTGATGCTTCTAACCCAGAAGTTATTAAACAGCTAAAGGAATTATTTGACCTTGTTGATAAAGATCATAGTGGAAGCATTGATTTTGATGAAATGGGTTACTTTTTAAATGAACTCGGAATAAGGAATCCATCATTCTTCTCGGTACTCATTTGGTACGTATCAGATAAAGATGGAGATGGTATTTTAACTTTTGAAGAGTTCAAACTCCTTGTTTTAAACTTACCAAAGATATCAAAACTACCCGAATTTGTCGCAACGTTAGCATTCCTCAAGCTTGATAAGGATCATTCAAATTCAATAGATATTGACGAACTTAGATCGATGTTCAAAGACCTTGGAAACTGCATCTCTGATAAACAAATTGTCAAAATATTCAATCACTTTGATAAAGATAAAAGTGGTACACTCGAATTAAAGGAATTCAAGAGATTCATTAAAAGAATTGCCAAACCATTTAAGAAGACTTTCAATGAATCCGCTTTAGAATAAACTGTTGACATCACAATCTTATAAGTTAAATTCGACATTTTTGTTTTATTTCTTTATGGGCTTTTCTTTCCAAATTTTCAGTCATACAGCTCAATTGAATTGGAAAATTCTGTGGTGATCGATGCTATCTAAATGAACTCATTGTTTGGTAGCATAGATTCTCTTTATGGAACTGCTTTATAGATTGAAATGTTTATCTCAAGATATAGTTCAACTGATGCTCTTCATTTCATTTCTTTAGCTTGCCGAAACATTTATTTGGGGAATTATTTTCATTTTTCAATTAGTCAAAAAAATTGACTACTCCAAATTCTTGACTAATATTTTGAATACTTGAAATTATATCAAATTTGAGCCTCAAAAGAATAAAAATATTTATGCCATAATTCTAGCAATATCAGGCGCTGGATCTAAGCTTGATTTGGTCAAGCGATTGGTTCTTTTTAGTAATCTAATCAATCCTTCAAAATATACATATATTTTTGTGTAATTTTAGAGCATCCTCGCAAGCAATATATTGTTTATTGGAATTGTATGAATTCTTAATGTGAAGAATAAGCATATATATAAAAAATGGAGATATTTTGTGTTGAGACTTGGACTTTATCTTATTCCCACAATACATTTCCATAAATTGATTGAAAGATATCTATCTGCTAGTTCAAAATTCTTAAATTGAATGAGAAAAATGAAATTCAAGATGGTAGTTATCGGGTTAGATCTAACCTTCTCAACTAAAATATATTTCTGCAGTTCATCCGCTACATTATTAACTAATTAACTTCAGACATAAAATATATTTAGTTTAGAAGAATTTTTCTTATTCTTTCTGGCATATTTTTGTCTTTCCAGTACTCCCGCTCTAATGGTCCCAGATGTGTTGGTTTAGATTCTCTCAAGTTCTTAGATGGTATAACATCTTCAACGCCTCCTTCATATCTTACTTTATAAGTGTCATCGTTTATGTTATAGCCAAGTATTTCAATAACCACTCCTCGCTTTGCTTCGTCAATGGTTTCAGCAAGTTTGCCATTACTACTTTCAACTAATTTATGACGAGGATAAAATGCAATGGAGTCGTCAGCAGCTTTTATAAGATATCCATTACCTTGCGTAGAGTCTACGATATAATAGTTTCTACTTAACCTTAAACGTTTCTTTGTCAACGGTTTGTCGTCAAGAACTACACGAACTTTTGTACCAGGAATGAGGGTAAATTGTGTTGAATTTCTGATATTTTGTGTTTGACTTCGTTTCTTTTGTATATACTTTTCTTCTTGTTGTTGTGTCATTGAATTTGGTGTATGTCCTGTTGTAGAATGTGTTGAGGAATTATATACTTCGAGAAAATGTTTCATTGTTTCTTCGGTAAAGTCTCGCTCTTGATTTAAATCTCTGAGAGTCCTTATGAAGCGGTTTATGATGCCGAGTATGTTATGGTTATGGTCTTCAGTAGTGTAGTGAGTTATGTTATGCTTAATGAGAAAATCTGTGATTTCATTGCTGAGGTATGCACTGTCTTGGTCTGATGTTAAAGTACTTGGGCTATGTTCTGCTACAAACTTTTGTAAAACTCTTAACACTTCATGAGTTCCTTTATTCCTCATTGGATATGCATATGCTTTGCGAGTGTTAACATTAATGAAGATGAGGAATGATTTATGTCCTCCTTTTCTGCTTTGAACGAGAGTGTCAAATTGGTATGCGTCGGGAGTGATGGAGTAAATTGGTAAAAAGTAGTCGTAAGGGTTTATTTTTGTTTGATGTACAACATTTTTGTCAAAGAACCTTTTCACTTCAGCTCTGTTAGTAAATCCCCAACTCTTTGCAGCTTCATTGAACTTCTTAAATGACCTCCATGGATGTTGTTCGAATACTTCTTTCAAGCTCATTAATGTAAAGTTAAAGATTTTATTCAAGACGGTAAGCCTTGACCCAAAGGGTCTAGGCTCAAGCGCGTTCATTGAACGCGGTACCATGCGAATACAGTCATATAAGGTGGCATATAATCTTCACCCGAGCCTGTTGGATTTGTTGTGAAAGTATGGACATGATTTCCTCCTGGTTCAGTTGGTCGAAAAGTCTTTTTTGCTGAATTGTTATAAGATGGAGATAAAACGTCATTGCCAGCTTTATAGTCTGAGTTGTATAATGTGTGGTCTCTTAATGAGTGGCTATGGTCGCCAGAAAAGTTTGTCGTTCCTGTATGAGTGTGCGCAGGTAAGTTTGCTTCTTTAATTTTCTTTGAGCCTCCTGTTTGCTTTGAAGAGTTAGCACAGTATAAGAATTTGTCTACAATCTGCTGCCACGTACCAAAACCTAAAACACTTGCCGGATTTTTTGAGTTCATTGACGTATAAATAGAGCCTATAGGATATATGGTTTCAAGAATCTGAGTCTTCATTGTTTGAAGTTCTGTCTTGTCGGCTTTCTTATCTAACATTGCTGGTAGTTCATATGCTTCAAAGTTTCTGGCATGATCTTCGATATTCCTGCAACTGTTATCTAAATTGTTTAGTGTATCTTTTACGCTTGTACTCGGATTCTCTAAAGGTGCACTTGAACCCAAATCATAGTTCAGTATTATGTCGTCTGCTCTAACAGTAGTGAAGGATTCATGTGTATGGTTCTTGTCAGCTTTACTATTTAATGTAGCTTGAAGTTCATTTATATCGGAGATATTGTGTTTATGAGATTTCAAAACTTTGTTCGTTGCGTCAAGTTCATCTTTGTCAGCTTTACTTTTAATAGCATCTTCAAAAGTTATTTTTGCCTTAACTCTCAAAGTAAATCTTGGTTCAACTAATACACCGTTAACAAAGAAACTAGAGGCATAAATTTCATCGTTATAACTAAATGCTTCTAGCGCTTTACCCGTGTCATAATGTACAGTACAGCTTATGTCATAACCTTTAGCACGAATGTATTTATATCTTCTTTCATTAACATCTTCCGTCTTCACTTCTTCATCCCGTGTTAAATATCCATGATAATCCGTTATAATCTGTTCATCTGAAGTTATATAATGAACATGGTTCTTGACTCTATCACTCAGAGCTAAAAGATCATTTTTGTCTGCCTTTTCGGCTAATTTCTCATTAACATCATTCACTTCTAATTCAACTCTTCCGCCAGAACTCTTATTATCATTAATCTTTTTCATTAATTCGGTAATTATGTCATAAAGACTATATTCTGTTTTCGGTTTTGTAAATAATGAGTCAAAATTTCTTTTCATCATTACATCACTTACATTAATGATATCAGCTATACCTTTTTCATTTATTCTCTTCATTAGTTCTGCAATAATGACGAATATATAATCTGTTAATTTATTCTCTTCATCGAGGGTTATAGAATGATTTGAAATCGAATCATTAACACCTCTAAATAAATCAATAACTTCAGGATACACGTTTTTAATGTCTCGAATAACCCGACCCGTATCCTGTTGTTCATGGGCTTCATCGCTACGTGGTTTTATGTCTCTAACCATCATCAACGCAGCCATAACCGGAGGGTTTGTTGCTATCTGTTCGAAAATCCGTCCGTTATGTACGGTATATCTAAATAATTTCTTTGTGTTTGTCAAAACATTTGAAACAAGTCTTTTAAAACCATCTACAAAATTTCCCGTTTCACCTAATGTTCTTGCAGCATTTACAAGCTCACCCATTCCAGCTTTTGACCCCAAAAACGTCCATATTGCGTTTATTTCACTCTGTATAGTTGTCCATTCAGCGAAACTAATACCCGCATTCGCTAAGTTGAAAATGAAACTCAGTGGATCGAACTTAATTCCGCCTTCTTTTTCAATTTCAACGAACTCACTAACATGAGATTTTAAATATTCTTTCGTTAAAATCGTTTTCCCCGATGTTATGTCATTAACGAAACTATCACCGTCAAAAGTTAACGAATTCAATTTCGTCATTGATGCTTTTATTTCATACACCGCTTTATCAATAGTTTTTGGCTCACCTTCTTTAGAAGTGTATGAAACATTAATGAATGAATTATATGTATTCATGAATGAGTTAAAATCAATGATTTTCATTAATGAAGCCTTTAATGATTCATTTACTGTCGAATCCCTTAAAGTAATTAATGAACTGTCATTTATGAAAGGTACACTGCAAACCGTTGAGTTTGGATCAAATGCTGTAGTCGGCTGGGGAGTATTAATGATATAAGTCATTAAATCATTAAGTGATGCAAATAATGTTGTCGTTTTTGATTTAATTTCTTTAGCATCTGTTATATACGGTAATTTTATTTCTGTAGTTTCTGAATTAAAGATATTCGCTAAAATGTTTTGTAAACTGTTTTGAACAGTTGTATAAACCGTTGAATCCGGAACTCTTACGATTTCACCGTCCTTTATAAACGGCATAGTACATGACGTAGTGCTTGGATCAAATCTTTCGGGATTATGATTCAACATATATTCTAATGCTTCATAAACAGACCTATATACGGTTGTATTATCTTTTTCAATAATTTCACCGTCCTTTATAAACGGCATAGTACATGGAGTTAAAATAGGGTCAAACTTTTCATAGTCCTTCCATGTTATGTATTTCTCAGTATTTCCATCAGAAATAACAATATATTTGTCAGTAAGTGTGAGAGAGTATTGACCAAAATATAAACGTTTAGCTCTGTCAGCTTCATACGCATATGCAGCTATACTCATATTTTAATGAGAATAAAATGTTGTTCTATTTGCAAAGTACAGACCCAAACGAATACGGGACAGTAAAGCTACAAACAAACTTAGGTCTACAGAATGAGGCGCTTGCATTCAGAATGGTTGACTTCAATACTATCGCTTCATTCGTTATAACAGATGAAACAGATTTCATAGAGATTGAAATAGATGGAAAGAAGCACGAAATAAGATTTCACAATAATGTAGAATATAAGATGGAAACATTAGCTGGAGTGTTAAATGCTCTCATAAATACTACAATAAACAAGGATAACGAAGAAAACTTAATGAATGTTAAACTTATTGCAGGAGTTTTGAAGTTCAGTTATGTGAAGGAGTTCAAGATAACACAAATGAGTCATAGAGTTCAATTGCTTCTGGGAGCATACCATATGACATTTCCTTTGAAAAGTGTTGACAAAACGATTGAGATGAAATATGTTCCATATGTATGTTATGGCAACTGTTTGTACATTGAGTCTAAAATAGCTAATGTCACAGGCATTTCAGGAGTTAATAGTAAAGGTTCAGTAGAATATAAATCCTTCTGTTATGCAGTCAATTCAATGTTCATTCCAAACGTTCCTGTCATAGCAACTCATTTAGGTAAATGGGTTCGCATTAGTCCTCATAATTTGAAAGACATGCAATTCAGACTTGTTGACTTTCAAGGAGAGCCTGTAGAACTGAAGGCACCAGTGCGAATGACTGTTGAAGTTGACTTTTTAGAAAATATTAAATGCAACAGCTTACAAGAGAACTCAGAGCTAAAAATATAAAGTATGAATGTTATGTATTAGGTCATGAACTTTGGTTGTTGCTGTTTGATGAAACAAATGAGTTAGTTATGTCAGTCAAGAGAACAGAAAAATATTGTGTTAGTGAAAACTGCACCAAGTCAATAAGATTAGGTTTGCATTATGAAGATGAGTTCGATACTGTTGAAGAAGTTTTGGATAGATATTACAAATTGCTAACTTGAAATTTTTTGACTGACGGCGCAAAGCGCCAAGACCGAGGGTCCTGACTGCTTTAATTTACTAAAACATATTTCAAACAAAGCTTATAGTCAGTAGATAGTTTTGTATACTCGTTCGAATATTTATACTTAAACTCAACTCCTGTAGTTCCTGGTGTTTCGATTATTCTAATATTACCTATTTTCATGAATAGTGGAGTTTGACCACAGCATTCGATTTCAGGGTCGAGATAGTCAATGACACATTGCTTTCCTGTTATTCGTGAGATAACATTTTCAAGGTCCTCCTTTGTTAGAATTATTTGGTTCTTACTTATAAGATTTGTCAAAAGCTTCTTATCGTCTTTGAGTAAAATTGTTTGGTATAACTGAAGAAGGTAATGGTCTACGTTATCTGAAGGATTTGTTTGAACATTTGTGTAAGGGTTGTCGTTGGCTTCTCTTGAAAGAATTTGGTCCAGTGGTGGATACTCTAACTTAACATCTGATGTAGCGTTAGCGTTTGAAGCTGAGTTTAAATTCACCGACTTAAGTTCTGGTTCTTTTTCTTTCAAACACTCTGAACTATAGTTCTTTATGACAATATTGTTTGTCGTTCGTGAGTCAACATTTGATGTTGGTTCAATTGGAACATTAACGGCACCAGCTAAGATGGATTTGCTTCTCATTTCATATAGAATAAAAACCTTTTATATGTATGAAATGAACAATATACTCGACAAGGGTTTGAATGTAAAGCTAACGAATGAAAATATTGTTGAATTCACTGAGACAGAGCTGTGTATAAAGATGTAGAACTACTGAACAAAAGAGCTAAGGGAAGAAGCAGGAACATGAACAAAGGGTGGAAGCCTATAAAAATTTATGTCAACGATGGCTCAGGAGGTTCAAACATAAAGTATGCAGAAAGTTATAGAGTTTATGCTCTCAAAGGTGAAAAGCCTTCATTTAAGAACAGCTATTCTAACGCATATCCTCAAAAGCTAACGGATGGGGAAGTGGATGATATGAATGACAGCAAAAATATTAACAAAAATGGCGACAGAGATGCATGGAATTTGTTTACCATCAGTCAATTGAAGGTTAAACTTTAAAACAATGTTGGTCGTTCCCATGAATATTTTTGACTTTAATGGTATTAGTCATGATATGAATCTCAAGGTATGAACGAGGAGAGATGAGAGACTTATATGCTTCCCAAATTTCTTCAAAAGGTAATGTTATACCTGACTGTTTCCAAATGAGTTCAATATCATAACGTGAGAAACCTTGAAAGATAACGAAGTCAGTTATGAGACGTTTTATGTTTAAAGCTAAAAACCTCCATGTTTGCATAAGTATTGCTACAGTTAAGTGGTAATGTCTGACTTTAGTAATGATGTTAGCTAATGGTGAGTCTGGTTTTGACACTAAACCTTTCCAGCGAAATCATCACAAACTAATAAAGTGTTTGAAGGATACTTTTTGAAGGGGTATTTTGAAAGTTTTGACAGAATGTAGTTTGTAAGTCGTTTCATATCGTAAACTCCTGAGTATTGACGTAAGTGGTGTTTGTCAATAATTCTTTCCATCTCTCTGAAGTCTTTTGCATTCCTGACTGTATAAATTCAACGATGGCATAATATTTCCTCTTACGTCGAATGTAACGTTGAAGAAATTCAATGAGTTCACTGTCTGGAACTTTAACGACAGAGGCTTGAACTTTTGACATAAATGTTTTCGCTGTTGAGTCCATAGAGTCTGAAGTTGCTGATATAATGATTTGGTCATAATATGAGTCATTTCCTAAACGCTCTGTTATGAGTATATGACGAATGAGGTTAAATGTCTTTCCTGAACCCATCTTTCCACAATAGAAATAACACCATTTGAACAGAATCATAATCTTTGCTGAAAGGAAGAATAAGAGAAGAGTTAAGTTTGTCTGTAGTTTCATTCATGTCTTCATCTACGTCATGTATTAAATGCTTCATTTTATCTCCATTAAAAATGCAAGTCAGAAATATTCAGAACATAGCACCGAGTCTAACTGACAAGAGTATAAAGATATACTATGAACATGTTATGATGAAACCAACCAAAATTCAAGAAAGTCAGTATACTTATGAATATCCAAGACACTGGGTAGAGTATGTAGGAGGTGAGAAAGCTATTGAAATAAGACAAGTTAGAAGTATTCCAGCAGGAAGAACAATATTATTGAAGAACTTTAATGTTTTGAGGTATAATGATGAAACAAAGAAGCAAGATAGTTTCCTGTTGCTGTGTATGTGAACTAGACACAGGAGATGACATGAAAGTTTTTAACACAAAGCTTCAAACGGTAGTGAGAGAACAACTTACTGCGGAAGGACATCCATTACCTTCAGAAGTTACCATAGCATATAATTTTGAAACAAACTCAATAGATTTTAAAGTCATCTCTGCAAAGAAGTCAGGTTTTACATTTAATGAAGCAGATGTATATTCGAATGAAAACTTCAAAGCTATTGCATGGTTAGATAATGACGATTGCTTTAAGAAAATATTTAAATACAGTGACTCAAAGATGTCAATAGATGACCTTCGTGGAATGTTACCATCGACGTTTACAGTTGAAGGTTCAGCAGGATTGCTTACAAGATTGTCAATTGGTGGCATTTGGTCTCGTGAGAACATTGTTATAAAATCCAGTATAAGTGAATTTGCTGAAGAATCTATATTATGTCTTTCAAACTACATGTATTCGCCGCCGAAGCATTATAGTATAACAAACTTTGTCAGTAAGTTTAACATAAGACTTGTCGAACCTTCTTCAATGAAAGATGTTGTGCTACCTAAA